CTTTAAACTCATAACAGTATACATCTATTTGTAATTAAATTTTATTGTTTTATTGCCATTTTGATTGCCCTTTGAACCATGTATAACTATTATTTGTGCCTTATAAGTTGTAAATCCATGACTCAGGACTGGATTTAAAAGGTCATGGTACCCATGTCCCCCATTGGTGGCAAGGGCAGTTGGACTGCAAATATATACAAATCTTTGTGATAGGATTCCACCAGCACCCACGGAATGATGGATTTCGAACAATCGAAAGCAACACCAAAGTGGACAATCTTTCTGATCAGCCTGAAGAAGTCCAAAAGGCAACATCCCAGGCTTGGATTGATGGGATCTTATATGCCATACCAAACCCAAAGTCCAGAACTCATCCAGTCTGGATTTACAAAAAAGTCACTTTCACTACCCAACCAAGTGGGCAAGGAGAATTCCACTTACCCATGGAATTAAAGAGAGGGCATGGAACACTGTTCCACCAAGGGCCTAAGATGGGACCTCGTTGCATTCAGATTTACGAGGAGATAGTGGACTCCCTGCATGAACAACCTAAGACCTGACAGTGTTTATAGATGGTACAGACTACTGTCAAAATGCTTCAAAAAAAATTTAAACTGTAAAACATAATTCCTAGTGCTAGAGCTTTGTAGAGAAAAAGTGATTATATTGCTTACATACAGTGCTTATATACAGTACCTACATAGAGGGCGTATGAGGGCCGGTGTAAAGTTTTGCAAATTAGATATTGCCAAGGGAAATCAAGTGAAGTATAAAGACTGGAGCAAGAGAACATGATGTTTAGATGGCAAAGATGAAGATCAAGAAATAGCTATAAGTGTCAGCATAGGTATATATGTTTTGGAACATTTTTATTATATTATGATTATTATTATACATTTTACCTAATCTAACCTAAAGAGATCCCTATCTTTACATTTTAGCTATTTTTATAATAACAAATAAAGAATAAGCATGAAAAACAAGAAATAAAGTACTTACCGAGTCTTCTTTATTCTTGATGTTGATGACACTTAACCCTCCTGTTTTTGTACTAATGGTAGTAATGCACTAAATAATTTTTATTTAGTTAAATAATGCACCAAAGAACATAGAATAATAACATGCAAAAAATAGAAAATTACCCCTATCACAATTTTTCTGGCTTTCTAACTATGCAACAAGAACAGTTACAAAATCATCCAAGCTAGTCGTTATCTTTCCCATGAGAATGAAGCTTGTATTATCAGTGAAATTGACAATTCTCCATTCGAAAATAATGTTATACAACAACGTTATATAATATGTCATTTGATAAATGAAAACTTTGGCTTTCTACTGGTTTTAGATAATATATAGAATTAAATGTAAGAGAAAACTATTAATAAATCCTGAGGATGTGACAAGAGGGGTCTGATTTTCTATTTGATGGCACTGTAACCAAACAAAATTGAAGGCTATAAATATTATGGTTTGTCTGAGCAAAGACGATTTTATATTGAGTAATTTATGTTAAGTTTCATACTTATTGGAGGGGTGGTGAATAAAATAGAGAAGAGGGGATGCCTAGAGAAAATATGTCACAATTCTCACACAAGAAGAAATTTCGGATTTTTTTAAATATTGACTTATAAAATTAAGAACTTAAAAGTTATATGCTATTAAAATATGGATTATTAGCTAAGATTTTATGCTATACTAATTGGTATTACAAAACAAAAAGTAGATTAATAGGATGCCTGTGGCGATAGGGTTAATCATAGCACAAGTATAATTTATAAAAGTTACATAAAACTAATGATATGCTTAATTTCATAAATAAAAAATGTCTCAGCAGAGGTTTCACTTAATAGTTTTTCATACTTACAGTACTTCTTGTTTCTCTAATACTTTGTTACAAATATTTACAACACTGAACTAACTAGTTGACTCAATAATCAATCTACCACTGTAACAGACTTACTAATCAATCAATAATTTCCTCTAGTCTCACCTAACTTGTGATATATACATTTTAAATCATTTCCTAGACTTTCAAGAAGTCAGCCATTATGTGATGTTAAATTTCCCTTTAGGCAAAAAAAATATGTCTAAATTAGAGGGGCACTAGGTAGGGAACATACCTCTGCCACACAGCTTTGATCATATTTGGCTCTCAAAAAAATACGAAAATGTGTCCGTATGTCTGTCATTATCAATGAACATGGACCATTTTTGGCAGGACAATGAGGAATAATATGATCACCAAGTTTCATCAAAATCCAATAATTTTTGACTCAGTTACATAACCTCCATCTGGCAGAGTTAATTAAAAAACTTTAACCTACAACAACAAAAGGAAGAGTGCAAATAAAGTATATTTTAATGAAAAGAGAACTCTAAATATAAATAAAAATTCACAAACTAATTAACTTCAGCAACACAAATGTTTGAACTTGGTCCTGTATTTTATATGCCTTAGCTAACAGCAATCATATTGTTTGGGCACCAAGTGTTCCTATATTGAAGAGAAGACATTTTAAATAATAATAATAAATTAAGAGTTTAAACAATGAATCTTCTGAAAGGAAGGTTTGCACAAGTAGTAGCAACACTTACATGATGTTTTATAAAGTTAGCTTGCTGGGCAGCAATCTGATTACGTAAACTGTGGATCCGCTGCTTGGTTTGAGTCATGTGCACATTTAACTGCGGAGGTAAAGGTCCTCCTTTACCAAACTGCTGAGAACCATGCAGCTGCTGAATCTCATACAGAAGTTTGATCTCTTGTAACAGTTGATAGAGAAGCTGCAATGTCTGAGGGGCCAATGGCTGGTTAAGGATCTGAAATTGATAACATGAAATTTCACAAAAGTCAAAGGATCTGTTGTAATAAATGATTGAGAAGCTGAGGGTCCAATGGCTGGTTAAGGATCTAAAATTGATAACATGAAATTTCACAAAAGTCAAAGGATCTGTTGTAATAAATGATTGAGAAGCTGAGGGTCCAATGGCTGGTAAAGGATCTAAAATTGATAACATGAAATTTCACAAAAGTCAACGATCTGTTGCAATAAATGATTGAGAAGCTGAGGGTCCAATGGCTGGTAAAGGATCTGAAATTAATAAAATGAATTCTCACTATGACTGATACAGTAATCATGCCAGTTTCAGAACACATATCTTCATAATACTTTGAAAAATGATTTAATATTTTAAACTGGCGTTCTTACTTAATTTGTTAACTACTTCAGATAGATTCTGATATGTCCAACATAACACACACCCATTAATTTCTTCTACATAAATATTTCCCAACAATCTAAGTTTGCAATAACAATATATTACTGATGTATTTTAACAATACTTATCCAAAATTTAAATACAGTTGCCCCTCCCAAATCTAGCAACCTTGGGATCTAAGCCTTGTCGGATCATTGGGTTTGCCAGATTTCGGGTGGTCATATTATAGTCATACCTGAATGAAAACAATTTTAAGAAAACTGCATTCTATACTGCATTTTATTGTACATAGTACTATACAGTGTATTCTACATCAAGAGAAAGGTAATATGCATGGGAAATAATAAATACAGTATTTATTACTATTTCTTCTTTAGTTGCAGACCAATTTGTTGAGTTTCTTTAACAATTCAACCTTTTTCACAATAGTTAATGACTTGTGTTTATGTTTTAAACCACCACAATCCTCTGGGCCACTTGCTTTTCTTTTAGGCAGCATATCTAAGGGCAAAACCAGGATTCTTATACTGATAAACTGTATAAACATGAGAGCTCCTGATGTACACAAATGGAGATGCCACCAGCCAGCTGGGCATATAAATTGGTGGGAAAGCTCCAACACATCGCTTGGGTGAGCAGCCAACCCGTGAACTAAATTTGCCAATTCTCAGGTAGTTTATCAGATAAGGGATTGCCAGATATGAAAGATTCAACCATACAAATCATTTTTTATTATAGATTAAATTTACTGTAGAAATTACTTAATCCAGAAACACCAGCTAATATATAATCATATCCATGTGAAGTTATTATAACTGAAGAAATAGTGTTCATTCCTAGAAGAAATGAACCAGAAAAAAGAAAACATTTGTAGGCAACTGTTTCATGTTTACAAAAAGTAACTGACAGTCCATGAATTTCCTAGTATTATTTTAATTGGTCAATGCAGCACATGAAGCTATGTCAGAGAAGTCATACAAATCCTTTCCTCAACTACTTAACTTGATAAGACATGTGACCTTACTTAAAAAAAAACATAATTAAACTTAAAGCAATAAAAATGTATGAATATTTTACTTATAAATTTACAAGCATGACAAACACACAAAAGTTGGTTCACAGCATATTACTAGAGATGCAGATAATAAGTTTGTTATTGGTTCAGGAATATGGATATTAAAAAATTAAGATCAGAAACATGGCACTTGTGAATATTAAAAACTCGGTTACAATAACATTTAAAAATACATTTTGTCAATACTTATATATGATCTGCTACTTACATTATCACAAAGGAATGGCTAACACTTAAATAAGTGTCATTCATCAAACAATGTTGCATTATGCATGGCATTTTTCTTACAATAACTTCCCAAGTTTTGTTTATATATTCTGTACAGTTAAGCAATACACAGTAGAGCTTCTACATATCATCTAGTGCTTGTCCTCCAAAGACTACTCACACTTATTGAAACCATGGCCTGCTAATGCCTTTAACGGAAGCACCATCAAGCCTCATGTATTGATGGATAACAAACCAAGGAAAATAGTCGTCATCAGGCGTATTTCCCTGAACACCACATACTAGGAAATTTATGAAGAACTTCAAGGATTTTAAAATCACCAACTTTACCAGAATAAAGTCTATACACACCAACAAACTTACACCACTAGTGTACCTTACACTGACAAACACAATGCAAACTTCTCAACTTCTACAAGATGGCATCATCCTATGGTTTCATCTTATCAAAGTTGAACAGCCTAACCACTCAAGCCCTTCAATCCTCCAGTGTTTCAATTGCAAGCACTTAGGGATCACTTGCAACAGACCTGCACTGCCAAGGCTCGTTGCATCAGTGAACATCTGCCTGAAGGACAGATTTGACACAACTGTAGGGGCCAACATGCCACTTGTTACCATGGATGCCCAAAGTTTCAACTAGTCATCAAGTTGAAAATATAGACACTGTTTTTAATGGACATATCTACAATGCCAGTCAACCAGAATTTCTCACCTTTGCCACAGAGACCACAATTTAACAGCTGTGCATCAGAATAACCTTGCCTACTCCAACTACCGAGACAACCAGCCTCACCACTAAGATCATATGCAAAGTGTAAGGCCTAGCATAAGTTTACTCAACAATTATCTGGAAGACGTAATAGTGAAAAACAAAACATCAAAATTAAATGATTACCTGGGGATTAAGGTGTCCTGCTTGAACTGCTACTTGTATCTGTTGAACGAGAACTTTCAAATGAGCTGCTGATGGTTGGTTCATTCTTCCACTAAGTGCATTCAAAGTCCCATGTTTCTGCAGACACAACATAATACAGATTAGAGCACTTTCTATGGAGTACTTTAATAACTGAATGTGAAGAGCATAATGAGTATGTCATATTATGTTGTTTGGAGTTCTGAGAAACAACCAATAAAATCTGCACCTATGCTGCAAGTACCTTTACTTCCCTAAAACATAATGAAACAACCTTCAAAGTATGATCCTTCACAACCGAAACCTGTAATAACTTTATTTTCACACCGACTTAAAGACCTCTGAAAGGAGAATGCAATAATTTTAAGTGACTGATTTCAGTTTCTGCAACATGGTACTATGAAAACCTGATACAGTAAGAATTATTCGCCAGTGAGCATACCTGCTGGAGGTGAACAATTTCAGTCTAGCATATTGTTTTTAAATATGTCCAACCTTGACAATGTGTCCGTCAGTAGAGATGCTGAATAAAAGTTTGTAACAAAAATAAAAATTAGATCCAGCTGCCAAGGAAATGCCAGTTGTGACAAATAAACTATTAATTTTCTTGCTAAAACCAATATGGCAATTTTCACTCTACTTTATCCTAACATTAAGTTAAAATGTGCTCCTTTTAGAGATGGACAGACCAAAAAAAAGAAAAAGCATTCTCTTTAGAAACCTACCACTTTTCAAGAAGGAACTTTCATACTTTATCATCTTGAGTGGTTGTCTCAAGGATAAAAAATTAAGAAACTAGAGGAGCACTCAGTACAGTGCATACCTATGCCACATAGAATTAATAATAATTGGCTCTCAAAAAACATGAAAATGTGTCTGCATGTCTGTCATTATCAACAGATATGGACCATTTTTGGCAGTTTCATCAAAATCCAATAATTTTTGACTGAGTTAGAGAGCAAAAATAGTGTGAAAAATCGATCCCCACGTTAACAGAAAGTTTTTTTTTTTATGACCTTGACCATCCAAAAACTAATTACTTCTAAATTAGGTCATAGTCCAAATGTATACCAACTTTCGTCCAAATCCATTCAGCCATTTTTGAGAAATCTTGCTGACAAACACACACACAGGGGTGAAAACATAATCTCAGTCACCTTTGGTGGTGGAGGTAATTAAAATTTTATTAACTATCATTATTTTTAATGAAGATCACTTTAAAACACACATAGATTTTTTGTAATGCTTTAGATACAATTTCTAACATTCAACTAACAAAGTGAGGGTTAACCATATAATTTTCTCTCAGTTAACTATTCCAAAAAAGGCAAGTCTTTCAAATTAATACCTCACATGTTTTGCTTATTTACTTGTAATATAATTATTTGTATCTGAATGGATGCTACAATGGCTCCTGTACCACATGTCGCACCAAATCATAAAACAAAATAATATATCATATGTTACAAAATTAAAGCAAGTTTTGTGTGACACATATAACATTCAATCAAAAAAAACATTTTGTGCCAAGTTCAAAAATATACATTTCTTTGTAGTTATAATACTTCCTAATGCCTACAAAATAATAACATGAAATAAAAGTTATTAAGCCTGATAAAAAATGAAATGTTTCAGTTGACCCTTTACCTGAAATATCGATATTAGGCTTAATCCAAACTCTCAACCCACCATTATCACACATGATGCGTTCCTGAGCTTTTTCTTTATAAACACACATTTAATAATTGTAAGTACACTACAGCAAAAATTAAATAACAGCCACTTTTAGAAATGGTATACAACATAAAATATTATAAAGGTTATGAAATATTGTAAATAAAATTAAACAGAACTTAAATACTTTTGTTTTCAAATTCAACTCTTAAGTAAAACATAAAATGAGAGGTGAAACATAAAGTTGCATTTCCAATATACAAAGCTTTACAAGGATCTTTCAAAATGTGCCAAGATATAGCTTACAATGACTTCCATCTAACTACAATTGAATACATTGTTTAGTAACATCTATCTACAATAGAATACATTGTTGAGTAACATCTATCTACAATAGAATACATTGATGAGTAATTTCTATCTACAACAGAATACATTGTTGAGTAATTTCTATCTACAACAGAATACATTGTTTAGTAACATCTATCTACAATACAATACATATATTATTCAGACTTCAACCTACAAAAGAATATATGTGTTCGGTCGAGTTGACTGACCACATGACCTCTTTGTACTCGTTTAAAGTCTTTATAGTTTTGATACTACTAACTTTGGCAGTCACAAAATTTGGCAGTCTTTCACTTAACATTATAAGTCTTTCACATACAAAAAATCATATTTTTAGTGAAATATTTTTAATAATCTAAAAAAAAAGATTTATCCACAAATATATTGAGTTTTTTTCCGCGTGCATAGTGATCTTCATGTTAAGTTTAAAAATACTTTTCTTCCTCTCAAAAATCTCAAATTTCATTTGCATAATTTCCTAAATACTAAAACTTTATATTTTATCTGTTATTTTCTCTACCCTAACTTTATACAAGTTTGGTCAAATTGACCGGCCTCATAAAGCCCACCCCCAAAAAAAACAATTGAAATAAATCTAAATTACCCTTTTTTCTTTCTAGAATGACTTCAAATTGTGACATGCTATACTAATTGATATAACAAAAACAAAAAGTAGTTTAATTTAATTTTGAAGGTAAGTCACTAAAACCTCATGACATGCGCAATAAAGAATGCTCGTGCACAGAGGGTTAATGACTTCTAACTATCTATGGTTTTTATCTAGAGAAGAATATATTATTCAATCAAAGAGAAACAGATCAGGTATTCTTGTTTAGAAATGTACAGAACTAAAAACAGAATATTTTTTACTTGTACAGAGTTTATTATTAAATTTTGGCAAAAAAAGCAGTGTAAAATAATACACTTTGTTATAAGTATCATTCTTATACTAAAATTACTTGCTTGTTGAGTGTTGAAAATAAATCTCTTTTATGAGTTCATGCAAACAAACATGAGCATCCCAAATGTTAAATAATTAAATCTTTAAAAGTAAACTCTGTATCTTAACCTGATGTTTGAAAGTTTGAATCCCACCAAACACAGGAGGGACATGGATCCCTTCATAATCCTGTATGGCTCCACACATTGAATCAGCCAAGGGATCGTTCAAGCTTACGTCATCCACAATAGTTTGCATTTTATGATAACCACCTACAACATCCATCAGATTTTTATCTTTGTTTGCAAGTGTGTGAAGTTCTCCTAAAAATATACAAAAATCAATCAAAATACAAACACTACCAAAACATGAAATACAAGTGAGTTCTTATAACAGCATGTCAACACTTACAGGAAAACACACAGATGTACGTACAGACACACAACATAGGAATGTCCCTTATTTTCACTCTTTTAGTTTAAAGCTAACACATTAGAAAAATGTGTTACACATCATGTGTTAAATTAGAATAGCAGTTATTAAAAGCTACCATCTATACCAATATTTTGTAAATTAAAGCAATTCACAGTATCACTGTTAAGAGAAATCAATTAACGAAAGGTTTGTACTTACCAAGTGCCTCTTCTAAACTCATATTATTGTTTCGCAAAGCATTTTCTACATCTTCTTTCTGAAAAATATACTTTCCAGTCATCTCTGAATGCATATTATAATAAAAATAATACACTTATAATTAAAGAACTAATGATTCAAAATATGAAATAACAGTGTGTGTGTATTACAAATGTTCAATGAGTTGAATGACATTAAAATATCTTTATAAACTAATAGCTTTATGGATGGATAACCATGTCCAAAAAGAACACATCAAAATATGTTTTGTAACAAAATTAATAATTTCTAGATTCCTACATTCAAGTATGTACAAAACAAAATATTCTACCCACGTATATATATATATATATATAGAAGATACTCTTCATGTAATTATGCATATATTCAGTGTACCAGCTATTTTGAAACCACCACTCAGATTTGAAACCCATGGTTAGCCTTAGCAAGTTCTACCAGTCTACGTGTCATGTTTGTTTTAGAGATGTTCCTTAATCCTGTAACTACAAACACCATTTTTAAATTTCTTCCTGCGTATGGTACTGCATTACTTCAAAATTAAATTCAAAGACTTTACTATAAATGCATTTTAATAAAATTATTATTATAAAGCTTGTTATAATTCAAAGTTATATATTATCTAAGTTTTTATTCCTTTATTGCAAATGAAACATTCAAAACAACAAGTAAAACTCCAGTTTTTTGCTGTCACATAATCAGCTCACAGCTACAATTTTTCAGTTGGTATAGAAGAAACTGTGTCTGCAATGTATAAGATTCCTTCAGATGGCCAAAGTACACATACGTATTTTACATTATTGTCTCCATTAATTTTGAAGAATTTCTCCCCCTTTAGTTTAAGGTTATTTTGAAGTTGATGGCATACTTATAACCAATAGAAAGAGCAGATTTTGCTCTTCAAGGTTGTTAGAATAATGATAATGTATAAGTTCATTTTTTAAATGGGATGAAATGAAGCCAAGTCCATTGTTCTCTCAAGGTGTCTGAAGTGCTTGGTAATTTTTTCTCGCCCTATACGTCCTAGTTTGATAGTTAAATTGAATTTAGGTTTTACTTATATATTTTAAAATGCAAATTTGGAAAGGTTTAATGATTTGTATAAGTTTAATTTGTTGTCACCTGGATTGCGAAAGCGTATAAATACAGCAACTCTGCATGGAGTCTGCCAAACTAAATTACAAAGCCCAGTGGGAATCAGTTGATGTATCATCATAAATAGTAAAAGACAAAGAATTTGAAAGAAAAATTAAAAACAGATTATAAGTGAAAAGATACAGACATGTGATTATGCATAAGAGACCAAGAAGAACATTCTAGAGAATTTCTATGAAGAGTTGAAAGGTATGTACATATTTCTATTTGTAAATATTAAACATTTCATTGCAATGTATGTTGATGATAATAGAAAGAGTTAGTGATATATTAGAGAAAATGGAAAATAAAATATGAACATTTACTTTTAAAAACTTTTGATATTCATTTATGAGGTTCTAGAGATTATGCAAATGAAATGTGAAAACTGTAAGATAAAAAATAGTATTTTTATACTTCATATAAAAATCACCTTGCAGAGTATGAGTGCAAATAACTACAGTCAATAACAAATTTTATTATAAACAGTAAAAAAAATCAAAATCAAACATTCTATTTTTCCGAAACTGCATACTTTTAGGAATGTTCTTGTCGATTTTCAAACAATTCCACCCACTAGATTTATTTTTGGAATGAAATATAATGATAACAACATTAGGTCTTTAAAATTTGGGGACCATAGGGATAATTCAAATGGTTTATATTTGTAATGTGTCTGGTTTTTATGCAACTGATGTTGGTGTTGATAGGGAAAGAGGTTTATTGCCTTTACTAAGTGTTTTATTGTGAAATACTTAAATCTAAGAGATCTAATATACATATTGGCTTTACTCTTCTGTATTTAATGGTTTTTCTCTCAGATAGTACTTACCTTGTATCCCATCTCTGACAAAACGCGGTACTGCTTACTTGTACAAATGAGATCTTTACCCAATGGCTTGCTACTCTAAAAACAGAAACAGAAACTGCTTTTCACTTCTTTAATTTCATTTCTTATCAATATCAATGAAATTGTTTTTAACCAAGTCTGTATTACTTGTCTTTATCCATTATTAGATTTATCACTTGCAGTCTTTCAAAAAAGTGATCAGTAGCAAGTTCAATACCTTGGGTATCAATAGAGTTCTTGTTCAAATTACTTGTACAGATATTAAACACAACACATTCTGAAGACTCTTATAATACCTACAATAACTACATAAGTCACATAAAGAAGAGTTACAAAACAAATTATTAGCTTAGCATTATATATAAAAAAAAAGGTATAATGTACTTATTTCATAAGCTATCACAATATTTCCTTCCCTCAGAAAGTGGTAGTATCTTTACACTTTTACTTCTATGGTTTCATTTGGGTACTGGGAAAGAGACAAAATCTGCCTATTTAAGACATTTCTTAACCCTATTGCCCAAAGTATCCTTTACTTTGCATAACACAAGGTTTTAGTTTCTTACATTCAAAATTTTATTAAACTACTTTATGTTTATGTTATACCAATTAGAAGAGCATAAAATCTTAGTTAATAATTCATATTTTAATAGTACACAAGTTTTAAGTTCTTAATTCTACAAGGCAATATTTAAAAAATCCTGAATTTCAACTAGTGTAACCCACATGATACATTTTCTCTTAGCATGTCATTATACTTATTTTATCCTCCACCCCTCGAAAAAGGAAGAAATTAAACATAAAATACTCTCTATAAAATAGTTACTGCTCAGACAAACCATAATTTTTATAGCCTTCAATTTAGCTATTTACCTCTTGCCACACCCACCCGTCACATCTTCTCTTTCACAATTTGTTGATAGTTCTCTCTTACATTTTATTATATATTATCTATAACCAACAGAAAGTCAAGGATTTCATCTATCAAATGACTCATTGTATAACATTGTATTCTGGACAGTATATTGTCAATTTCACTCACAGTACAAGATTCATTCCCATGGGAAAGTTAATGACCAGCTTGGGTGAATTTGTAATGGTTCCTGTCGTACAGTTAGAAAGCTCGGAAAATTTTTAGAGGTAAGTGAATTTTTCTAATTTTTGCAAGTTAGTAGTATATATTATTTGGTGCATTATTCAATTAAATAAAAATTGTTAAGTGTATTATAATAATTACTATAAAAAATGAGGCTTAACTGTCCTTGATAATCAAAGGCAAGAAAAAAGAAGATTGTGTAAGTACTTTATTCCTTGTTTTTCATATTTATTCTTTATTTATTATTATAAAAGTAACTAAAAACTAAAAATACAGATCTTTTTAAGTTATAATGATAATATAATTAAAATGGTTCACAAGGCACACATGCGAGCAGCTTGCGGGTAACATAGTTTAATAGCGTAATGAGAGCTGCACATTCCCCGAGTGTTTTACAACTTATAATGGCACAGATAGTAGTTAGACACAGTTCAAAGGGCAATAAAACAATAAAATTTAATTATAAATAGATGTACACTGTTACGAACTTAGAGTTACTTAAGATAAACAATTGTAGTTTTATGTTACAGTTTTAAGTCATTCTAGGAAGAAAAAAGGGTAATTTAGGTTTGTTTTGATTTTTTTCAGTGGTTACAAGGTTGGTCGAATTGACCGATCATATTTTGAGATAGGGTAGAGAAAATAACCCAAACTATAAATTTTTACTGAAAAAAACACTTGAAATGCATTCAGGCGGTTTAGGGATTACACAAAGGAAATTTGAGAGTTTTGAGATGAGGGAAAGTATTTTTAATTTTAACATGAAAATTACTTTGCGCATGGACATTTGAAAACAAATACTCAATATATTAATGGAAAAATCTGTATTTCATTTTATTAAAAATACTTCACTAAAAATATGATCTTTTATATCTGAAAGACTTATAATATGAACTAAAACACTGCCAAATTTTGTGAAGATATACAAACTATATTGAAAGTTAGAAGTATTAAATCTATAAAGACTTTAATTGAGTACAAAGAGATTACATGGTCGGTCAAATTGACTAAGCCCATGTTGAGAGATTTATACATGACAATAGCTGTATTTCTAGATTTTGACTAATTTTTACAGCACAAACTTTATGTACCCAACATGAAGATTAAAGGTTAAAAAAACAAAAGTTGACATTTTCTGAAACTAAAAGTGTATTTCCGATAGATACCTCTATTCACAAAATAGCTTATCTTGATTAGTACTGCCATCTATCAGTTAGAGAACAAAAATACAGTTTTATGTACCCAACACATAAAACTATATTCTGGTTCTCTAACCTTTCATGTTGGGTAGATAAAACTGTATTCTGGTTCTCTAACCTTTCATCTTCATATTCAACATGAAGATGAAAGGTTGGAGAACCAGAATGGTTTTTTGTACCCATCATGAAAGGTTAAAGAACCAGAATATAGTTTTAAGTATTCAACATGAAGATGAAAGGTTGGAGAACGAGAATATAGTATTATGTACCTAACATGAAAATGAAAGGTTGGAGAACCAGAATGTTTTTTTTTGTACCCAACATGAAGATGAAAGGTTAGAGAACCAGAATATAGTTTTATGTATTCAACATGAAGATGAAAGGTTGGAGAACCAGAATACAGTTTTATGTATTCAACATGAAGATAAAAGGTTAGAGAACCAGAATATAGTTTTATATATTCAACATGAAGACAAAAGTTTAGAGAACCAGAATATAGTTTTATATACCTAACATGAAGATGAAAGGTTAGAGAACCAGAATAGTTTTATGTACCCAATCAGCACTTGTTTTGTCAATTACTTTAATCAGGTGACTTTACAATGAATTTTTTCCAATAGTTTCATCTATTTATATATCACTTCTGTACTTAACTGGTATTCCAAAACTGTAATGTCAATAACATTATATATATCTGCATATCACTTCTGTACTTAACTGACATTCCAAAATTGTAATATCAATAAGATTATACATATCTGCATATCACTTCTGTACTTAACTGGCATTCCAAAATTGTAATATCAATAAGATTATACATATCTGCATATCACTTCTGTACTTAACTGGCATTCCAAATCTGTAATGTCAATAATATTATGTATATCTGCAGTGTGTAAAGCAAAATAAGTTAAAACTTTGTCCATTTAGTGTTTCGTTTCAGATAGGTAATTGCTACATACTAAAAAAATGCAAATAACTATAGCAGGGTTCTCTTAAAATGGGTCAAATTCTGTACATTGCTAGATAACTTCTATATCTAGCAGAAATAAATACAAATATTTATTTTAACACTTAAATTTGTTTTAAAAATTTTGTTTCACAACCAAAAAGCACAATCTAATAAACACCAACTCATGGATATAATCTACTACTTAAATGTACTATGAACAAAATAATTCACATCTGCTAAAAATATCCAAATCTGAAAGAATGGTGAGGCTTAATATTCTCCTCATACAGTTTGGAGTTTTATAAAATTAAACAAACCCTTTTCTGAAATCCCAGTTTTTCTTCAAATTGATTATTAGTTTAGCAATCATGGTTGATTTTTCTAAACAGCATATTTGGTATTGTTTAACCACTTCATGTCAAAGTGGATATCACAGAAAAGAGAGTAATTCATTCTATCTAAAATCCAAATAATTGTTTAAAGTTTTTAAACATATTTTAATGTTTCGGTTATAACATTCTGAAAATTTTACAAAAATCTTTAATTCAGTAAAATATATCCTCACAATATAGAATTATTTATTACAGATTTTCCCTTATGTAATGATTGTTTGTAAATAGACAATACATTTAATTTTAAACCAACTATAATTCTTGATTAAAAGTCCTTGCTAACCTTCACTGAAGCCCAACCACTAGTGTTGATCTGTCCATCAAAGTTTAATGTGGAAGCAGTTTTTGGCTTTGCACCCCAATATGTTGGCCCCATGGGATGGTTGGATTCTCCCCAGTTTGGGGATCCTGGCATATTCTTAAATGCAGGGTATATATGGGTTTCATCCCAAACCCCTGGGCCTGGGGAACCTCTGTGGGGCAGGTCTGACCAATTTGGCCCATGATTCAAGGCCGACATCTTGCCCAACAATGTAGGTCCCACATCTGGTTTGTTTGATGGACTAAAGGATGGAGGCAAACGTATCATGCCTGGACCACTTGGTGGAAGGCTAGGTCTAAAACGTGGCACATTACCACCTATTATTCCTATTCCACTGGTTGGTTTAGAAGGAAGCATATCCTTCCAATTACACACTTTTCCTTGCCGCTGAGGATTACCCCACATGGAGGTACCATCATCAAAACTGGATGTCGGATGGCTGGTTACTGGATTAGAATACCCTTCCCATCCTGAAGCTTGAAAATCTTTTTTTTTTGGTGTAGCCACAGGTGACCAAGTTCTACTTGTTACTTTATTACACATTGAACCTCCAGTTTCTTGTCTGTTTCCTGGACCGCTACTTGCTACTCCTGGCTCAACTGTAAAGATCATTTGTTTTATTAATGTTTTTGGCAAAAATTACAGTTATTCTATTTTGCCCAGAAAGCCTGTCACATGTACCAAATCTGTCATGAATTGATATATTTTATTCAAATATCACTATTTCACTCATTTGTCATTTTTGTTCTTACATACAATTTTCACAAAATATATATTTTTCATTTAGAACATACCTACTCACAAAACAAACAAACAAAATAGTTTTAATTCGCTACATAATACCTCATGTCTGACAAATTCAAGCGTTTTAAAAGTTTTGAGTCAAACACTTCCTTACCTTCTAGGATATAACCTTATGTCATTCTACCAAACAGCTTGATGATGCGTCAAAAAGTCCTTACCTTCTAGGGTATAGTCATATGTCATTCTACTAAACAGCCTGACAATGGGTCAAACACTTCCTTATCTTCTAGGGTATAACCTTATGTCATTCTAACAAACAACCCGACAATGGGTCAAACACTTCCTTACCTTCTAGGATATAACCTTATGTCATTCTACCAAACAGCTTGATGATGAGTCAAAAAGTCCTTACCTTCTAGGGTATTAGTCATATGTCATTCTACTAAACAGCCTGACAATGGGTT